TAGAGATGGGGTTTTGCCATGTCAGCCAGGCTGGTTTCAAAATCCTGACCTCAAGTGATCCACCTGCCTCGGTTTTTTTTACTGCTGGGACTATAGGCCTGAGCCACCACACCTGGCCAAATCTTTTAAAATTTAATGGGTACTATTCACAATAGCAAAGACATAGAGTCAACCTAAATACCCATTAATGGTAGACTGGATAAAGAAAATGTGGTACATATACACCATGGAATACTATGCATGCATAAAAAAGAACAAGATCATGTCCTCTGCAGGAACATAGATGGAACTGGAGGCCATTATCCTTAACAAACTGAGGCAGGAACAGAAAACCAAATACAGCATGTTCTCACTTATAAGTGGAAGCTAAATAATGAAAACGCATGAAAAGAAAGAGGGTAACAATGGACATGGGGCCTACCTGAGGGATGAGGGTGAGAAAAGGGAGAGGTTTAGGAAAAAAAAAAACCTGTTGGGTTTTTTTTTTAGTGCCCACGTGATGACATAATCTGTACACCAAACTCCCAAGTTACCAGTTTACCTATATACCAAACTGGCACACGTACCCCTGAACTAAAATAAAAGTTACACTTTTTTTTTTTTTAATGGGCGACAAAACTTTGCCATACACTCACCAACAATGAACATTATCTTTTTTTTTTAAACCTTTTATTTTGAGATACTTGTAGATGCACACGCAGTTGTAAGAAAACACAGAGGGCCGGGCGTGGTGTCTCACGCCTGTAATCCCAATACTTTGGGAAGCCAAGGCAGGTGGATCACCTGAGGTCAGGAGTTCGAGACCAGCCGGACCAACATAGAGAAATCCCATCTCTACTAAAAATAGAAAATTAGGTGGGTGTGGTGGCACGTGCTTGTAATCCCAGCTACTCAGGAGGCTGAGGCACGAGAATTGCTTGAACTCGGGAGGAGGAGGTTGCGGTGAGCCAAGATTTTGCCATTGCATTCCAGCCTGGGCAACAAGAGTGAAACTCCGTCAAAAAAAAAAAAAAATCTCAGCACTTTGGGAGTCCGAAGCGGGTGGATCATTTGAGGTCAGAAGTTCAAGACCAGCCTGGCCAAAATGGCGAAATCCCATCTCTACTAAAAATACAAATATTAGCCGAGTGGTAGTGACACGCACCTGTAATCCCAGCTACTCAGGAGGCTGAGGTTTTTTTTTGGCTTGAGCCTGGGAGAGGTGGAAGTTGTGATGAGCCTAGATTGCACCATTTTTTTTCAGTCTGGGCGACACAGTGAGACCCTGTCTCAAAAAAAAAAAAAAAAAGATTTTTTTTAAGAAAGAAAACACAGAGAAATCCCAATTCCCTTTACTCACTTTTTCCCATTTTTTTTATCTTGCAAAACCATAGTAAAACATCTCAACTAGGATATTGACAATGATAAAGCAATATCCAGAACATTCCATCACCACAAAGTTTCCTCATGTTGCCCTTTTACAGCCACACTCACCTCTCTCTTGCTCCTGTCCCCTACTTAATACCTGGCAACCACCAATCTGTTTTTTTTTTCTATAATTTGGTCATTTCAAGAATGTTATAGAAATGAAATGATATACTTTTTTTTTTATTGGAATTGGTTTTTGTCACTCAGCATAATTCACTAAGGATTCATCCATTTTTTTTCATTTATCAATAGTTCATTCCTTTTTATTGCTGAGTATTATTTCATGGTATTTTTTTTCAAATTTGTTTAACTGTTCATCCATTAAAAGAATCTGGCTGGGCATGGTGTTTTTTTTCTATAATCCCAGCACTTTGGGAGGCCAAGGCGGGAGGATCACTTGATGTCAGAAGTTCAAGACCAGTCTGGTCAACATGGTGAAATCCCGTCTCTATTAAAAATACAAAAATTATCCAGGTGTGGGAGTGTGTGCCTGTAGTACCAGCTACTTGGGAGGCTGAGGTACGAGAATCACTTTGAACCCAGGAGGCAGAGGTTGCAGTGAGCTGAGATCACGCCATTGCACTCCAGCCTGGGCAACAGAGCGAGACTCTGTCTCAAAAACAAACAAACAAAAAAATTTTTTTTAACAATAGGAAATTGGCTATATCAATTGTGATATATCCATAGGCTAGAATTTTTTTTTGCCAGAGAGGTTGCATAAGGGCAGACTAAGGTGCTTGGACCTTCTCCTGAGACCAGCAGTCTCCAAAGTTTTGTTCATATGAACTTAACAGTACAAATATTAGCAAATTTTTTTTTAGCTGATATCTCAAAGCACAATATACAGTTAGGATGAGAGTCATCACTAATTTTTTTTAGGGCATGTAAATTCATATTTCTTTTCTTTTTTTTTTTTGAGACAGAGTCTTTTTTTTTCACCCAGGCTGGAGTGCGGTGGTGCAATCGTGGCTCACTGCAACCTCCATTTTTTTTGTTCAAACGATTCTTGTGCCTCAGCCTCCTGAGTAGCTGAGTTTACGGACTTTTTTTTCCATGTCTGGCTAATTTTTGTATTTTTAGTAGATACAGGGTTTCACTATGTTTTTTTTGGTGGTCTGGATCTCCTGACCTCAAGCGATCCACTCGCTCTGGCTTCCAATTTTTTTTGATTACAGGTGTGAGCCACCGCGCCTGGCCCGTAAATTCATATTTCAAAGTTTTTTTTTGATCATTGTTTTCTCAAATTTTATTACATTCCTTACAACATGGCTGACATTTTTTTTCATTCATACCAGAAAGAGGTGACCTGTCAGCTGTGTCCTTTTCTACTTGTTTTTTTTTCTGGTAATTTTCACAGTATCTGGAACTTGCCATTTCTTTGCAGGAATATTTTTTTTTTATTTGTCTGTTTCATAAGACAACCTAGTAACATGATCCTACGTTTAGTTATTTTTTTTCGACTCATTACACACTGCAATGCACTGCAGAATGCTGAAAGGGATGTGTGTTTTTTTTGCTGCCCACCCCCCCGGCGTGGACCCTCATTCACTCAGGAAGTCTCTGCTTTTTTTTTGCCCTCATGACATTGGCTCTCAGACAGAGGTCAGATGTACAGATCAAGTGTTTTTTTTACATTTACTATGTCACACAAGAGCTTAATTCTTATTTTTATTTTATGTATTTTTTTTTAGACAGAGTCTCTCTCTGTCGCCCAGGCTGGAGTGCAGTGGCCCGATCTCTTTTTTTTGCAAGCTCCGCCTCCCGGGTTCATGCCTTTCTCCTGCCTCAGCCTTCTGATTTTTTTTGACTATAGGCGCCCGCCCCCACCCCGGCTAATTTTTTTCTATTTTTAGTATTTTTTTTGTTTCACCGTGTTAGCCAGCATGGTCTCGATCTCCTGACCTGCTGATCCGTTTTTTTTCGCCTCCCAAAGTGCTAGGATTACAGGCGTGAGCCACGCGCCCGACCAAATTTTTTTTTTTTCTCATTTTTAGGTTAAAAAATGAATAGAGGCCGGACGTGGTGGCTATTTTTTTTAATCCCAGCACTTTGGGAGGTGGAGGCTGGCGGGTCACCTGAGGTCACGAGTTCGAGACCAGCCTGACCGACATGGTGAAACCCCGTCTCTACTAAAAATACAAAATTTTTTTTTTGTGGTGGCACATGCCTGTAATCCCAGCTACTCGGGAGGCTGAGGCAGGAGTTTTTTTTGAATCCGGGAGGCAGAGGTTGGAGTGAACTGAGATCATGCCACCGCACTCTTTTTTTTGCAACATGAGTAAAACTCTGTTTCAAAAAAGGAAAAACAAAATTAGCCGGGTGTGGTGGTGCGTGCCTGTAATCCCAGTTACTCGGGAGGCTGAGATAGGAGAATTACTTGAACCGGGGAGGCAGAGGTTGCAGCCAGACTAGATGGTGCCACTGCACTCCAGTGTTTTTTTTTGAGCGAGACTCCATTAAAAAAAAAAAAATTCAGGGGAAAAAAGCAATTAATTTTTTTTATAACTATAAAAATAATACAAATTACAAAACAACTATTTGCATGAACATTTACATTTTATTAGTTATAAGTAATCTAGATATGATTAAACTGTGTGGGGGAATGTGCGTAGGTTATATGCCAATACTACCTCATTTTATACGAGGAATTTGAGCATAGAAGGATTTTGGAGTCCACAGGGGTCCTGAAACCAATCCCCTCTTCCCATGCCTACGGATGACTGAATTTTTTTTCAGCAAAAATGAATATACTCAAGCTATATGCATGAGTCTCACAAATACAATGCTCACAGAAAAAAGTAAGTTGCAGAAGGGTAAATACGGTTGATACATAAAGGTTTTAAACACAGAGAGAACTGTTTAATGACATACGGATGCAGTAAAAGTATAAGAAATGTATTTTTTTTTATTTAAATTCAGGGTGGTGGTTACATGGAGTAAGGCGAATGTTTGGGATGTTTTTTTTTACCTGACAAATGACAACTTTACTTTTTTTTTTTTTTTTTGAGATAGGGTTTTTTTTTTTCGCCGAGACTGGAGTGCTGTAGTGGGATGATAGCTCACGCAGCCTCGATTTTTTTTCTCAAGCGATCCTCCCTCCCGCCTCAGCGTCCCAAGTAGCTGGGACTACATTTTTTTTCTACCACGCCCGGCTAATTAAAAAAATTTTTTTTGTAGAGATGAGGTCTCTTTTTTTTGCCCAGGCTGGTCTTGAACTCCTGGGCTCAAGCGATCCTCCCGCCTTGGCTTTTTTTTGTGCTGGCTGGGATCACAGGCGTGAGCGACCGCCCCTGGCCTGCAACTTTTTTTTTTTTAATCTGTGTGGTAGGTGTCATTTGGCCCATTTTACCGGAAATTGAGGCTTTTTTTTTTGAACTGGCGTAATTTCAGTTCCGCTGGGTTTTAACACTGAATTAACTGGCTGAACCTGCGAGAGGACGGCCAGGCTGGCTCTCAGGCCTCTCCCAGCGCTCCCTTCCGGACCGGTGAGTGAGACTCCCGCCCCGCCCTGCGCGTTGGGCCCCGCCCCAGCGGCTCTTTTTTTTGCAACTGCGAGGAAGATATTTAAAGGCGCCGGCGCCACGCGTATATCCCTTTTTTTTTCCGCCCGCCTAGTGCGTGTCCGTATACTGAGGCCCAGCCCCCTTCGCCTGTTTCTATCACGAGCGCCTCCAGCATGTCTGACAAACTGCCCTACAAAGTCGGTGAGTTTTTTTTTTTGCAGCCGGTTGCTGCCGCTCGGCACCCGCCCGGGGCTTGTTCGTGGCGGTTTTTTTTGGGCCGACTCGGGGCGCTCTGGACCCCTGGAATCGCAGGTTCGGCGCGTTTTTTTTTTCGCGCAGCCACCTGGAAGTTGGAGTTCTCGCGCGGCCGTGAGAGGGCCGTTTTTTTTTGCCGCGGACTACAAGTCCCAGCATGCCCCGCGACGCCGGGGCTGCCGCGCGGGCTGAGAGCCGCAAACGGGCGGCGTGCTCCGTGGGAGAGCACACCTGGCCGCGGCCTGGGACGGCTGGCACCTGCTGGACCCTGCTCAGGGGGCCTACGCCCGGCCTCCTGGGCCTGGACCGGACCCTGTCCAGCTGGGCGGCCCCGACGAGGTTCCCCCCCTCTCTGGGCCTCCTACAGGGACGACGAGGGCACTGGTGCCCCGGAAGGTGTATGAAAAGAGGCCTGGAAAGCGAGCCCCAGGCCGGCTCCGATCCTTTCCCCTGGGACTTTGGGCCAGTTACCCAAACTGTGGGGTCCCCCACCCCGCCACCAGGGGCAGCCTTGCAGAAATCTTGAAGAAAATTTTTTTTTGTTAGAAAAATCCTGCTGTCCCACCGATTGAAGTGTGATACAGGGATAGTTTTTTTTTTACTTAGCGTTTCCTGTGGGATCGGCCCTGCCTTCTAGGTTTATTTTAGTTTTTTTTTTCTGTAGGGAAGCTGTTCTCGTTTTATAATGAGAATCCTGAGGCAGAGGTTTTTTTTTCTCAGTCTTACAGCTGGTGGTGATGGAGCAAGATTGGACGCACGCAGGCCTTTTTTTTCTCTGAGCGTACCCTTTCACCACTGTGTGCAAGCGAATACACGTGGAACATTTTTTTTGAATTTTCAGCAAAAACCAGTTCAGTCTGGCTAGTAGCTTTTCAAGTAACTTGGACACTATTAGACCGGGTGTGGTGGCTCACCCCTGTAATCCCCGCACTTTGGGAGGCCCAGGTGGGAGAATCACTTGAGGTCAAGAGTTTGAGACCAGCCTCGCCAACGTGGTGAAACGCTATCTCTACTAAAAACGCAAAAATTATCCGGGCGTGGTGGCGGGCGCCTTCAATCCCAGCTACTTGGTAGGCTGAGGCGGGAGAATTGTTTGAACTGGGAAACGGAGGTTACAGTGAGCCGAGATTGCACCACCACACTCCAGCCTGGGCAACAGAGCAAGACCCTGTTTTTTTTAAAAAAAAAAAAAAAGACACTATTAAGTCTGGAGAATGGCATCCACGTTTTTTTTTTTCTTGCTGTATATCTGGTGATTTACGTGTGTTTACAGAATAATCTTCATAGTTTTTTTTATTATCCCCTGATAGAGCATGAAACTGAGGCCCTTGGGAAGTGACTTGCATTTTTTTTGTTAAAGTAGTTCATCAACTTGCTACCAGAGTAGACTGTCTCCATTGTGTGAATGCTGAAACTGAACCCAGAAAAGTTATGTCAAGGTCACATCAATAGTAGAACTGGTTTTTTTTCTTGTCATACTGTGGAGAGATTAGTGGGTCAGGATTGGGGCCATTGGGTTACGTGGGTGGAGATAAAGCTGGTTTTGGGAGAGGGGGAGCTTAGATGGGTGGGACTGGAGGAAGGAGGCCCTGCTGTATGCCAGATCTTGATCATATGGCATTTTCTTTACTTGGGTTTTTTTTCAAGCTAGGGATGATTATCCTCACTTTACAGATGAAGAAACTGATGTTTATTTTTTTTCTTGCTGTTCCTCTTGGGTTGTCCTGGGGACAGGTGTTCTTGTGACTTCTTTTTTTTTTTAGCTCCAGAGATTGGAGCATCTACCCTATCCTGTGCCCTTGGAGTTGAGGGTCCCACAGAAAACCGTGGGGCTGGCACAGTGTCCTCGAGGGCACCGAAGGAGTTACTTTTAGCTGGAGGGACATGTAGTGGTGGAGGGGTGGAGCTTAGCAGCACAGGGCATAACCCATTGTCCCATACAGCCGGGCCCCTCCCAGGAGGGGCCTTGAGAGGGGCCTCTGCTGCAGCCCTGCCTGACTGCCAGTTCTGGTTCTGCTGTTAATTGGCTATGGAACCTGCAGCAAACTCCTCTCTGGGTTCTTTCCTCCTTAGTAAATGCTGGGACTCAGGCTAGGTTCTTTTTTTTGTTGTTTTTCTTTGCCACCCTTGTCATGTGCCAGCCCCTCTCATGGATCTTCTTTCATTCAGTTCTGATGACAGATATGGTCAGTAAACAGTTGCTGACCCCTTCTCTGAGCCAGGTCATGCTGAAGACACAAAGGTGACCCAAGGACAGGGGTGGCACAGATATGCCATTTTATATGAGCAGATCTGCCACTTGTCTGTCTCCATGGTCACCACCCCAGTTCTGGTCTCTCTCCTTGCAGGTCTCCTGGGATCTCTTGCTCCACAGATCCACGCAGCAGCCTTTTTTTTCTTTTCAAAAGATAAAGCTGGTCTTTGAATGCTGGCCCCCTGAAAACTGTTTTTTTTTCACTTCACTGGGACTGAAGTCCCAACTCATCTTACCCCTCTATTTGAGTCTTTTTTTTGCCCTCTTTGTTCCTCTAGCAGGGATATACTAAGTTATTTCCTGTTTCCATTTTTTTTTCAGCACCTACTGTGTGCCAGGTACTGTATTAGGTGCTTGGGAGGAGACTTTTTTTTTGATAACTGCTTGGGTTAAAGCCCTGAGGTGGGAATGAGTGGAGCTTGCCTTTTTTTTTTCAGGAAACCTGTGTGTTGAGCAGCTAGTGAGGGGGGGAAGTGGAGAGATGGAGGAGGGGCAGGCAGTCATGCAGATGGGGCCTGAAGATTGAGGGAAGCCATTGGAGTTTTTTTTTGTTTTGTTTAGTAGAATAATGGAGGTGATGTAACTTACATTTTTAAAAGCCTCCCTCCTCTGGCTACTGTGGGGAGAATGGCATATTCGAGCATGGGACCAGTGAAGTTTTTTTTGCAGTGTCCAACTGAGAAGTGGCAGTTTATTTCTTTCTTTCTTGTTCTTTTTTTTTTTAGACAGAGTCTCCCTCTTTCACCCAGGCTGGAGTGCAGTGGTGCTATTTTTTTTTTTTGCAACCTCTGCCTCCCAGATTCAAGTGATGCTCCTGCCAGCCTCCTGAGTTTTTTTTTTTACAAGCACCCACCACCACACCCGACTAATTTTTGTATTTTTAGTAGAGTTTTTTTTTCACCATGTTGGCCCAGTGGTCTGGAACTCCTGACCTCAAGTGATCCGCCTTTTTTTTCCTCCCAAAGTGCTGGGATTACAGGCTGTGAGCCACTGCGCCTGGCCTGATTTTTTTTACTTTAGATGAAGGTGGTGAGATGCGGTTGGAGTGCTTATATATTTCACTTTTTTTTTCAGAAACATGCGGATTGAGGTGAAAGGGGAAAAGAGGAATCAAATCTTAATTTTTTTTGCAGAGTTGCTGGTTGAATGGTGGTTTCATTTCCTAAAATGGGAAGATTGTTTTTTTTACGGGTAGTGGGGGCAAGGAGCCACGAGGACTCCAACATGACACGTAATAGATCCGATTGGACATCCAAGTGGAGGTGCCGTGGAGGCGGTTGGATCACATTGAATCTTAAGTTCAGGGGAGTAGTTTCGGTTGGAGATAAATACGTGGGAGTCATCCCGGTAGAGTTTTTTTTTAAAGCCATAAGACTGGATGAGCTTAATTGGTAAACATTAGAGAACTGGGAGATGATGAAGCCCTAAGGGCCAAACGCTAAAGTCTTAGCTAAAGAGGAACCAGGAAGTTTTTTTTAAAAGCACAGGACAGAGTCGCAGAAGCCAAGTAAAGAAGGGGTTTCAGGATTTTTTTTAAGTAGTTTGTGCGATCTGCGCTGCTGGGAGAAACATGGTCATGGGTAATTTTGCATTAGGTGTGGAGGTCAGGCTGGTCTTGGGACAAAAGAGCAGTTTCAGTGGAGTTTTTTTTTCCTTAAGAAGGAGAGGGGATGTGGAATCGGGCTCCATGGAGCAGGGATATTTTTTTTATTTTATTTTATTTTATTTTTTTGACTGAGTCTCACTCTGTCACCCAGGCTGGAGTGCAGTGGCATGATCTTGGCTCATTGTAGCCTCTGCCTCCCAGATTCAAGTGATTTTTTTTCCAGCCTCCTGAGTAGCTGGGATTACAGTCACTCACCACCACACCTGGCTTTTTTTTTTATTTTTAGTAGAGATGGTGTTTCACCATGTTGGTCAGGCTGTTCTTGAACTCCTGACGTCAAGTGATCTGCCCACCTTGGCCTCCCAAAGTGCTGAGATTACAGGTGTGAGCCACCACGCCTGGCCAGCTCATCTTTGGTAACAGGAAAGAGTGCCTGGTCTGAATTTTTTTTTGACTGCTATAGGTGACTGGTGGATTCCACAGGGGAAAAGTGGCCTGGTTCTGAATTCATCTCAGTGAATTGGAAGGTAAGATTGTTATTCGATGGGGAAAGGTGTTGTTTTTTTTAGGAGAGTAGAAAATGGGAGTAAATTTACTAGGAAAATGTCATAAGATTGTTTTTTTTTGCTATGTGTCTTTTATGGTCTTAACAAATGTGATGTGTTGGCCAGGTGTGGTGGCTCACACCTGTAATCCCAGCACTTTGGGAGGCTGAGGTGGGTGGATCACAAGGTCAGGAGTTCAAGACCAGCCTGGCCAACATGGTGAAACCCTGTGTCCTCTAAAAATACAAAAATTAGCTGGGCATAGTGACGCATTCCTGTAATCCTAACTATTAGGGAGGCTGAGGCAGGAGAATTGCTTGAACTGGCACCCTGGAGGTGGAGGTTGCAGTGAGCTGAGATCGCGCCACTGCACCCCAGCCTGGTCTACAGAGCCAGACTATGTCTCAAAAATAAATAAATTTTTTTTTAAATGTGATGTCTTGGTATGGTTGTGATTGTCCTCCTGCTGGGTTCAGTGTTTTTTTTGCAGTGGAGGGTCGGGTTTAATTGGGCTGAGAGTTTTGCCAAGTGAGTTCTCAAAGGGAAACGGGGCAGAAGGGACAGCAGAAATTGCTAGGATGAATTGAATAGAAGTTCTGACCTGACAGGCCACAGCCTTGTTGGAGCTCCCTCCAGAGAGGGAGAAACCCAGAAAGATGAGATGTGGTTAGAGTTGGGTGCTTGAAGTCCAGATTTCCAATGACAGCTATCATTGGTGATGGCCTACTGGGGTAGGAGGGCTGGGGTGCGTGGCTTGAGTTGAGGCACAGCCGGAGTGGTCTCTCATGCAGGAGGCATGTTTCATCTCTGAAATTGTTACAATGCATTTTTTTTAGCTGACTGACTTAGATAGTTTTATTATTAAATTCTTAGATTATTAAATTCTCTACAGCATTCTTTGCCTCCCACCGCCTACCTCTTTGGGTGATTGGCAGGATCTAACCTTCCCTAAAGATAAAAATCACCAGGAGTCTTAGGCCTGCTGAATCAGATTTTCCAGGAGAGATTTACAAGCATGCCAGAGGAGCATTCCTTATCGGGGAAGTCTGCAAACTTTGACCTAGGGACTGACCTAGGGTATGACCTTGGAAATGGACCAAGTGTGATAGGGGAGAGAGGAGGTTGAAATGGATCAGAGGGAAGAGTATTGAGATAGTGAGTTAGCTTGTAATAATTTTTTTTTTTCCTGCCTGAGAATTTGAACAAATTCAAGACATTTTAGGTGGCAGATATTTTTTTTAATATACTTTTTATTACTAATAACCTTGAAGCCAGAGGATGTAGATTAGTTTTTTTTTTGGCAGATAGCACCCGAAATACTACCTTTTATTACTAATAACCTGGAAGCTTTTTTTTATAGATTAATATGAAATCCAAATGATCCTGCTGACTGAACCCTCAGATACAGCAGTTACCCAGTCATTTGCAGGCAAGGTAGGCCAGGGTTGGTTGGTCTCTGGAAAAGCAGAGAACACCAGCTTCCTGCAAGTGGGCAGGTGAGTGCTTGCTTGCAGAAAGAAGGGAGAGCTAAGCTGAGCACACCATTTATTCCTGTCAGTTTTACTGGTCAGGCAAGCTCACCCCACCTCCCCTGGGGCAGAGAGGCCAAGAGCATTAGTTATACGGATGAGTTCCTCCTTTTTTTTAGAAACATCGGGGGGGGGAAGCATTTTCACGTCTAAAAGGAGATCAAGGATTTTTTTTATCCAAAGTGTTAGATAGTGTTGATGAGCGCTGAATCACCAGCAGTGATGACAGAGAGGGCTATGGAGAACCAGAAGCTAACGTCTTTAGGGAGTGAGGAGTGACCTGTTTTTTTTTAGGTGTCAGCAGAAAGACGGGGTAGTGGGAAGTGTCATGTGAGCTGTTTTTTTTTTTGCACTTCTTTATGTTGTAATTTTTGTGTCCCTGTGTGATTAAATGTGTTCTTTTTTTTGTCAGAAAGGGGCAGGTAGGCAGGGACCATGTCTTTCTTGAGTACTCTGGTTTTTTTTATACTTGTTGAACGAGTGAGAGAATGCGGTGACAGTGCTAAGCCCTGGTGTTTTTTTTCCACACGTGGATCGGGGTTCACACACAGTGACTGCCCCTCTGGGTTGGTGGGACAAAGGGGCTCACAGAACTCCCACCTATTTCTCCCCGTAGCTGACATCGGACTGGTTTTTTTTGGACGCAAGGCCCTGGACATTGCTGAGAACGAGATGCCGGGCCTGATGCGTTTTTTTTAGCAGTACTCGGCCTCCAAGCCACTGAAGGGCGCTCGTATCGCTGGCTGCTTTTTTTTGACAGTGGAGACGGCCGTCCTCATTGAGACCCTCGTCGCCCTGGGTGCTGTTTTTTTTCCCACAGCTGTATCACCCCAGAGTCCTTGCCCTCCCTGGATTCAGCCAGGTTTTTTTTCAGCTGTGCCGGGGTGGGGACCTTCCAGGTGTGGAGCCAACCCCGGGCCTTTTTTTTTTCCTCCCTCTCATTGGGTTTCCTCTCTGTTGCCCAGTGCTGCCACACTTTTTTTTTTTTGTTCTGCAGATTTTCTCCCTGGCTGGGAAGGTCACTGTTGGCTACCCTCTTTTTTTTCTCCTGATGGATGCTCTGTCAGGAAAAACTCAATGCCCATGTCCTACTTATTTTTTTTAGGGCCAGCTTGCCTTGGCCCTCCTGGGGTCACAGGCCTACCCTGGACCCATCATGGTTGGCCAGATGATGGCAGCTCTGATTGGTTCAGCCTGGGTCATGTGTGCCATTTTTTTTCAGCTCTCCTGAGGTCTGAGAGTCAAGAAGCAAGCTGGTTTTGCAAAGCAGGGTAGGACAGTGCAGTCAAAACCCACAGAGGGGCTCAGGGCTCAGTCCTTGGACCTCTTCTTTCTTTTCAGCATTCACTCTTGGCGGTCTGATTTTATAGCTTTAGATACTATTTTTTTTTTTATGACTCCCACATTTTTGTACTAGCCTGGACTTCTCCTGGAACTCCAGACTTTTTTTTACAGGAGCGAGGGCATTGATGCTACCTGGAAGTCTAGTACTCATCTCAGGTTTTTTTTGTTCAAACAGACTCAGGATTTTCTGCCCACTCCTCTTCCTGAAGCCTTCCTTTTTTTTGTAAATGGAACCTCCACTGCAGCCTTCTGGGTTCTCTCAGTTCAAGAATCTTTTTTTTATCTCCTCCCCACCCTTTCCTCCCTGCTCCCAACCCCTTTTACTCCAACATTTTTTTTCTCAGCAAATCCTGTCAGTGCAGCCTTCAGAGTAGACCCAGGATGTGGCAACTTCTCATCACCTCCACTGCTGCTGTCATATTTCTTGTCTGGAGTCTTCTCCAACAGTTTCTTCAGTTGTCTCCTTGCTGCCGCCCTTTCCCTTCCACACAGCACCACCGTGAGGTTTTTTTTCCTGAGTTGGATCTCACCTCTGCTCTGGCTCCCATCTACCCACCCAGTGTCCCCAGGCTGTGATCCTAGAGCTTGCTGTGCCTAGATCCCAAGCCTGTCCCCACTACCCGAAGAGCTCTCCCTTTTCCTTGCCCAGCGTCCCTTGTGCTTTTGAGCCACTGGTGACCAACAGCCTTGTTTTGATGGCTCTTCTAGGTGCAGTGGTCTAGCTGCAATATCTTCTCCACCCAGGACCATGCGGCAGCTGCCATTGCCAAGGCTGGCATTCCGGGTGAGTCCTGCTTGCAGCTGGGACATGTGGAATTTGTGAAGGGCCTCTGCCTTCTTTGCTTCACTGACTTTTTTTTTAACAGACTTCCTTACATTACAGAAGGGGAGAGGAGTAACGGCCACAAAATCCTAGCCCAGCGACCCATAGGAAAGAGCTACTTTGTCCCATCATCGTCTCAAATCCTGTTTTTTTTGTTTATTGACCCAAGTCAAGCCATGTAACCAGGAAGAGCAAGATCTTATGATTGGGAACTAAATGATGAAGCGGAGGGGAAGTTCATTAAAGGAAGGATGTGGATCTCTTTCCAAAGAACTGGGGAGGGCTACGGGGCAGAAAAAGAGGTTCACTGCCTAGGGTATGGCGGTCTAAAGGACTGAGGAAGGACCAAGACTAACGAGAAAGGAGCTTTCACAGGCTTTTTTTTTGTCTGCTTGGACTTGGGGAGGGGAGTGGTTAGATCTGACGCAGTGATTAATTTTTTTTTTCACGATTCCTTCTAACCAACCATAGGTGGAGAGGAGGGAGTGGCACAGTGCTCCTTCACAGACTGACCAGGGCTGAATGGGCATGGCACCCATTCCTCAGCCTTGATTTTTTTTCATCCTTTCTTCTGGGAAAGGCCTTGTGGCCTTGTTTTCTTTCTTTTTTCTTTTTTTTTTTTTTTCTTCTCTTCTTCTTTTTTTTTTTTTTTTTTTTTTTTTGAGACGGAGTCTCACTGTCACCCAGGCTGGAGTGCAGTGGTGCGATCTGGGCTCACTGCAAGCTCCGCCTCCCGGGCTTACGCCATTCTCCTGCCTCAGCCTCCGGAGTAGCAGGGACTACAGGCGCCTGCCACCACGCCTGGCTAATTTTTTGTATGTTTAGTAGAGACGGGGTTTCACCATGTTAGTGAGGATGGTCTCGATCTCCTGACCTCGTGATCCACCCACCTTGGCCTCCCAAAGTGCTAGGATTCGCAGCGTGAGCCACCATGCCCGGCCTGTTTTCTCTTTTCTTTTCTCTGTTCTCTCTTTTCTCTCTTCTCTCTTCTCTTTTTCTCTGAGAACGGAGTCTTGCCCTGTTGCCCAGACTAGAGCACAGTGGTGCGATCTACTGCAATTCTTAAGACCATTGTCTGCTCCAGTTGTGGGTAGGAGCAGCTGGCTCTGCTTGGCCAGCATCCTTTGCTCACAAGAGGCTCCTGGGAACCCCACACCTGTGCCCTAGTCATGCCACATGGGAGGAGTGTGGGCTGGTGGTCAGTAACCCTTAGTTCTGGTATCTATTCTGAATTTCATGTAGAGTGACCCAAGTGCATCTTAGCCCCTCTGTGGGCATCTGTAAGTAATGATAATGGTCATGGCTGCCTCACAGGGTTTCTATGAGGAAGAATGAGATAGGGTATGGAGGATTTAGAGTCATGTCTGGCAGAAAGCAAGTACCCTATACATGGTATCTGCTCGTAGTCATTTTTTGGCCAGACTTTGCCTGAGACTCTCCTGCACAGAGGCTGCTGGTGCTCCAGTCCTTTCAGTGCAGAGCAAACCCTGGATCCTGCCTTGTAGATCCTGCTGAGGGGGAGGCATTGTGGGGCATAGAGCTTTGGTCACTTAGAGTTGATGCCTCAGTCCTTGGGGCCCAGGCAGAAGGGGATGGGAAAGGAAATAATTATTTCCTGATATTTATATCTGCGGGGCTGTACATGGCTTCTGTCTCACTTAGTCCATACTATTTATTGTGAGCCCTATTTACAGAGGAGAAGACTGAGGCTTAGAGGAGTGAAGTGATTTGCCCAAGGTCACACAGCTGGCAAGTGGCTGAGCCGGGATTTGAACCCAGATCTATGTGGCTCCAAGTTGTGTTCTTACCACTGCTGAGTCTTCAGAGGGGCTGGAGGTGGCTGGGGATGGAAATTGGGAAGGAGGTAGTTTTGGCTCTGCCAGGGTTATTCCCTGGAGCAAGTACCGGTTGGGGAAGTCCAGGCCCTGATGTGCCACTCACCCTCCAGTGTATGCCTGGAAGGGCGAAACGGACGAGGAGTACCTGTGGTGCATTGAGCAGACGCTGTACTTCAAGGACGGGCCCCTCAACATGATTCTGGATGACGGGGGCGACCTCACCAACCTCATCCACACCAAGTACCCGCAGCTCCTGTCAGGTTAGCAGGGCGGGGCAGGGGGGCTGGGTGTTGGCGGCCTGGGTGGGGCCTGCTTGCCCACATGATGGCCGCAGGCCTGGCAGGACTCCCATCGCCTCAAGCAGCAGGATCTGGAAGATGGGAGGATGGCAGGCTCTGGCATTCATACCGGGGCCTCCTGACTTCTGAGGGTGTGAGGCTAGGGCAGCTGAGCCAATGACCCAAGGGCAGGCACAGGGCCATGGCTGGGAATAGCTGGGAGGGAGCCAGCTTTGTTCAAAGTAGGCACAGGGAGTGCGGAGAGTGCAGAGGCCCTGAGGCGGGAATGGCTGGAGTGTTCAGGAAACAGAAAAGAGGCCCACAGGATAGCAGTGAGCAAAGGGAGCCTTCGCTGGGGGGTATGGTGTGAACTTTGGTGAAGGCCAGATGTGTTAAGGCCTAATAGGCCAGTAGAAAAGTGTTTGACCTGATTCTCAGAGCAAGGGAAAATAACTGGAGGGCGTTGAGAAGATTTCTCTGAGAAGATACATGTTAGAAATGGCTGCTGCATGGAGGATGGGTTGTGGTAGGGAGACTGGCAAGAAGTGACAGGGTCAGGGACTAGGGCAGTGGCAGTGAGAAAAGAGAAGCTGGGAGTTGTTGGGAGGCAGAGTCACTAGGCCTGGTGGTGGCTTCCCGGTAGGAGGGCATCAGGGACTCCTCCCTCATGCTGGTCTGTGTGATTAGGGGGGCCTGTGGGATCAGTCACAGAGGTGGGAACCCAGAAAGAGGAATGGCTTTAGGGGGCAAAGATGAAGAATTTACGTGAGCACAGGTGTGGCATCTCTGAGGCTTGTCTTGTCCTCTTTTGTTTAGGCATCCGAGGCATCTCTGAGGAGACAACGACTGGGGTCCACAACCTCTACAAGATGATGGCCAATGGGATCCTCAAGGTGCCTGCCATCAATGTCAATGACTCCGTCACCAAGGTGAGCTGAGGGGCAGTGACAGCTCCTGCTGCAGTGGCTGCAGCTCAGGGCGAGGCCTCTGAAGAAGAGTACCCAGGAAGGCTGAGGCTGGGGGACATGGAGCCCTCATTTGAGGGGGCAAAAGCGGTTATAGACCAAGGCTAATGAGTGCATTTAAAAGGGGTCTCAGAGCTGGGCGTCAGGAACTTTATGGCTTTGGGAAGAAGAGCTTTCAAGTTAAGCAAGGTCTTTGACCGGGCAATCACTCCTAGTAACTGATGCCTAGGAAGGCTCCACACCAGCAGGGAAAGATTAGACAGAAGCTCTTGGAGCCGACTGGGGTGAAGGGCGTGTGGAGGCATTGGCTGCTGGAGGGGTTCAGCCCAGGCTGGGATGCTTGGTGGGCCCACGACACCTGGGCTCTTCAGAATACTGTGAGGCCATGTGGTCCTGGCCCTAGGGCCTTGCCCGCCCCCATTGTCTCCTTACCCCCTCTCCTTTCAGAGCAAGTTTGACAACCTCTATGGCTGCCGGGAGTCCCTCATAGATGGCATCAAGCGGGCCACAGATGTGATGATTGCCGGCAAGGTAGCGGTGGTAGCAGGCTATGGCGATGTGGGCAAGGGCTGTGCCCAGGCCCTGCGGGGTTTCGGGGCCCGTGTCATCATCACTGAGATTGACCCCATCAATGCACTGCAGGCTGCCATGGAAGGTAGGATAGGGCAAGGGTTGGTAGTCAGCCACTGGGGCCAGAGGGAGGGGCAAGGCCACCATAGATGACCCACAGCCACTGTCTCTGCACAGGCTATGAGGTGACCACCATGGATGAGGCCTGTCAGGAGGGCAACATCTTTGTCACCACCACAGGCTGTGTTGACATCATCCTTGGCCGGTAGGTGCTATGGGGGTCCTGGGGAGTGAGGGACGAGGGCAGGGTTGGGACAGCTCTCTGTCCCTGACAATCTCCCATGGTCTTGGGCTGTCTGACAGGCACTTTGAGCAGATGAAGGATGATGCCATTGTGTGTAACATTGGACACTTTGACCGTGGAGATCGACTGTCAATGTGGCTCATGAGAACGGCCGTGGAGAAGGTGAACATCAGCCGCAGTGAGAAGCTCCCGCCGCCTGGCCATGCGCCGGCTGGGCAGATGGGAGTTGCAGAGGAGTGCTTGGCTGGCGCAGGGGAGTGGGAGTTGAGAGATTGGTGAACCTGTGGCAGGGGCCCCCATGGGAGAAGAGTGCCTAGCATAAGAGCCAGCCCCGAGATGGCAACGCTAAATCTCTGAGGGCAGGCCGGCATTCCTCGAAGGTATCAGGCCAGCGTGAGCGGCTGTATATGGCGAGCCGCCTGTAAGTTTTAGAAAGATCGAACTCCCTAGCTAGCTATGTGCAGAAATAAAAAGGCAACCATGGCAGGTGGTGGCGAGGGAGAGGCTTTCAGAGGAGGGCTCCATAGAATCCCGGGCAGGCGACTGGATGGCCGGCCTGTCAGCTTTGGGTACGGCCTGGGGATGGATGGACAGCAATGTAGGGACAGGATGAAGCAGAGTCAACAAATGACCCACAGCTTTGGCTCCAGGAGCACGGTGGCTCAGCACCTATAATCCCAGCACTTTGAATGCGAAATGGCAGATTGACCTGAGCGGGCCCAGGAGTTCCCGAGACTGATCCTACCACCATGGTTAAACACTCCATCTCGTAACGCAAAAAAAGTATGCAAAAAAATTAGCTGGGCAGGCCAGCCGGTGACTCCACCGCCCTGTTATCCCGCTCATGCACTTTTTTGGGTATGGTGGTTGTGTGGCCTGTTTTTGGGTGGGTTTTTCGACGCGGTCCCTAGTGTGTGATCACCTGGGTGCAAGGAGTAATTGGAGACGCAGCCCTGACCACATGATGAATCTCCCATCTGCTACTTCTGAGAGAGAATTTCAAAGAATTTTGAGGCATGGGTTGGGTGTGTGTTTGGTATGATGGCTATGTGTGTGCGCCTTGTATAGTTTTTGTTTCCCAAGCCTACTAGCATTGGGAGGGCTGCGAATACTAGGAGTTATATTTTGTTTTTGATACCGCCCATTGTTGAGGGTGTGATTTGGGTTGGGCAATGGACGCGCCGATGATATGTGGATTTTTTGTGTTTGCCGCCATTTTTTTTGCTATTCCATGCTCTTGTGGCAAACTAAGCAGCTTGAACCTCCATCTCGGCAAAAAACAAAAAAAGGTGGGGGGCGGCGCCCGGGCCAATGGTGGCTCACGCCTGTAATCCCAGCACTTTGGGAGGCTGAGAGGGGCAAATCATGAGGACAGGAGTTTGAGACCAGTCTGGCCAACATAGTGAAACCCCGTCTCTACTAAAAATACAAAAAATTAGCCGGGTGTGGTGGTGTGGGCCTGTAATCCCAGCTACTTGGGAGACTGAGGCAGGAGAATCATGTGAACCCGGGAGGTGGAGGTTGCAGTGAGCCGAGATCCTGCCATTGCACTCCAGCCTGGGTGATAGTGTGAAATTGTCTCAAAAAAAAAAAAAAAATTAGCTGGGCATGGTGGTGGGTGCCTGTAATCCCAGCTACTTGGGAGGCTGAGACACGAGAATCGTTTAAACCTGGTAGGCGGAGGTTGCAGTGAGCCGAGATTGCGCCACTGCACTCTAGCCTGGGCAACAGAGCGAGACTCCATCTCAGAAAAACAAACAGATAAAAACAACAAAAAGGGACACAGCTTGAACTGCTCAACTGCGTGTGACGAGCAGGGGCCCATGCACTGAGCCTGAAAGAGAACAGGTTTGCATTAAGCAGTTGGGGCGCGCGCACTGCACTCTAGCCTGGGCAAGCAAGCAGAGCGAACTGCCATCTTCAGAAAAACAGAACAGATAAGAAATCAACAAAAAGAGGACCACAGCTTGAACTGCTGGTGAGAGCAGGCCCATGGCCACTGAGCTGGCGAAAAGAAACAGGTTGCATTAAGCATCTGGAACGCAAACTGAAACTGGAAGAATGAGTTCTTGTGGGGGGTGTGAAGTTTACTGTGGAGTTGCAATTTTATGGTTTATTTTTTATCTGATTATACAAAGTATGTATTTCGGAAACTTTGCTTTGGTCTCAAGAGCTTTAAAGTTAAGGCGAGAGCGTCTTTGGGCAATCGTCTCCTGGTAATGGTCCTTACCGGCTGTGTCATAGAGGATGTCCTCCTTTTTTCTTTTTTTTTTTTTTGAGCCGTCCAGGGGCTTGCCTGTTACTGGATTATCTTATGAGGGTGTCAAATGTATCTACGTATCTATTTTGCTCACTGCAGCCTTGACCCTCCTGGGCTGAAAGCGTAAGCTATGCCTCCTGCCTCAGTCTCCAAGTAACC